ATGCACAGAATCTTCACCCAATTTTTTTTTATATTTTATTTCGAATTAAAACTAAATTTATTCAGAAAATTTGCTAAGAAAGAATTGAAGTATTGGTCTAATGAAACAAGACAAAATTATTTTGATAATTTCGTAGAAAAGGGGGAACATGTTCATAATAATAACATTTGGAATGTTACTGGCCATTGGAGCAAAGAGTTACAGAAAAGAGAAACAAGAGCATTAACCCTAGCCCCAAAAGGAAAAGGCTAAAGCCAATGCTCTCATTCATCGATTTCTCATACAAACCCAGAAAAATAAAAATAAAAACAAGAAGGAAGATTCATATAACAATCTACGGAACATGGAGATTTTGGGATCGGTCGCTTGGGAATTGAATCAGCGCACGTAAGTTCTTGAGCTCGATCGACAGAGATTTCAGTTGTGAAGAGGATTAGGACCTGTATGAACTAATCTCTTATCCTCTTCATACACCCTATCTTCGTCTTCTTCGCGTTGAGGACCTCTGGCTGAAACGAAGGCTCTCGGCTCTTGAAACGTCGTCGTTCTCTTGAAAAAGCCAGCTTTTCTCGGGAGAGGACCGCTGAAGTGACGGTAGCGATTAAGAGCCGAAGACGAACTAAACTGAAGGAAAATCAAGATGGCCCACATCAGGAGAGTTGCCACCTTCGTGGGTGGTCGTAGTGTTCTTCTTCGTCTTCCTCTGTCTTGTTCTCTTCCCACAGAAGCTTCCATGGCTGTTTGAGCGATAAGAGCTCTCTTATGGGTTTCCTGATAAGCTCATGAGATAGCGAAACACAGTACCTGTGTCTGTAATCTCCAGTCTTGACTAAAGATGTTCTCTTTTTATGTCAGATGTGTGCATGGGAGTACTTAACAGGTTTGGTTTTTAGGTTTCATGCGAGAAAAAAGAAAGAAGAAAGGGTGAGAGCTCTCTGAGGAAGTGGAGGATGGGTTTTGTGGGGGTTTGTAATAAACCCAAAAGCCGAAGCCCTTTTCTTTGTTTGAGTGAAGGCCAAGCTACAGCGTTGTCTGGTTCTCTGTTTGGATAGCGAGAAAATAAAAAGGGAAGAAGCAGAAAAAGAGAGAAGAAAGCTCTTTTAAATAAACAGATTCGTGGGTTATTTTCTTTTCTGTTAATTAAATAATACGGTTTTCCTCCCATCATACGCGTCTTATCACTGTCACATGATCTTGACCCTTGATTCCTGGGAGAACCTTCTTATATCTTGTTTTATTTATTTACCCTCCAACCCCATCATCGATCTCTATGCTTAAAAGTTAAAAAGTAACTTTTTATATATATATAAAAAAAAGAGGGGAAAAGAAAATAATATCAGTGATTTACTTGACATTTGCTTGGAGATGGTGCGGTGGGACAGTTGAGTAATAATAGCCGATGTCTCCGGAAAGTATTATTAAAATTTATGGTTTTGAGAGAGAAAAGGGTCACATAGTAAAAAGAGTGTAGTAATTTTTTTTCTTGTTAAAGCCAAGTGGCTTTAAAGGGGGGGTTTCCTTAGTTTTTGCTAAATGGAAATCTGAGGTTGCAGAGATTTGCTTCGCGTATCTTTCGTGATAAGCTCTTCTGTGTTTTGTCTTCTTCTCTCTCTCACTGTCTTTTGTGTTTTCATGTCTTCTGTGTTCTGCCTTCCCCCATGAGCTATGGAGATTTTCTTGCTTCCATTCCATCTCTCTCTGTCTCAATTCTCAGAGAGACAAACCAGAGAGAGAGAGAGAGAGAGAGAGAGGCCATATATTGCAGGGTTTATGGGTAAGTGTAAACAGCTTTCGGCCTAGTTAATAGTTTTGAATAATATAAATCTAAAACATGCGAATATATTTCGTGTAACATTGAACATTTTCCCTGTTTTATTTTCTTTCCCGTTTGTCGGAATTCATATTAAAAGCGCTCTGATCAAATGGAGTTTAATGCCAAGTGTGAGGATGGCATCGTGAAAGGAGGAAGATATATATATATATATATGTCCAATAAGCTTCAACAATATATGGCGAGTTGCTTCAGTACGTGACCACGCTGACACAGCCGAAGAACATTTATATATATATATATACATACACATATCTTTTTGCATAGAAATCTTACGATCCATTATGTATTCTGCCAGAAAAATTAAAATGTGCAACTGTCGGTTTGTTTGTTTGTCGATCGACTTCCAAATATGTAAAATGTTGTTATAATAATTTAGTATTTTTTAAATTATGATAAATATATTATTCATATAAACGTATCATCCACAAACGTACGTGTACAGAAATTTTACTGACTGAAAATATAAACGTTTATGCATAGAAAATCTTACGGGCGGCTTCTAAATTACGATAAATATATTATTCATATAAACGTTTTTACTGACTGTAAATCAGTATTATTGCGGAATTAGATATATATGGGCGCATTTGTCTGTATTGGGCCGTTTATAATTTTAGAACATCCCGTTGGGCCCATGTAGTCCGATCGTTAAACTATATGGATCCAACGGTCCGAGCCCATCCGAGATTGCACAAATAATTTATGCCACGTTGGATTTGAGACTAGGACGTTTTTGGGTTGTAATATGTTTTTTTTTATATAGTTTACATATTTTTTATTTTTGCATGTATTCATATCAAAGTATATAAATAAATAAATAAAAAATACCACACCCAAATTGAATTGGAAAACATATTAGACTTCGCGAGATGGATAAACTCAATAAATCTTCGTTTTTGTCGGTCATCATCATCATCATCATCATCATCATCATTCCAATTATTATCTGTCAATATATATTTTATTCACCCGTTATAATAATATACCAAAAAAAAATCGAAACATGTTTTCTACTGTATCCCAAAGTGTTTACTTTCCCAGCGACAGAGACTGCAAAAGCATGAAAATCGATGGAAACTTAACTTCGTTTCTTGTTCTGAAAGTTTATTATCTTTCTCGTGAACTGATTTTGATAAATATATAAAATATAAAAGTATATTAAATTCCGCTGGTGCGATCTTAATAATGCGATCCTTCCTATATAATAAAAAAGAAACAAAGAAAATCTCAATGATGCAATTCAGGTTCTAATAAAGTAAGTATAATATATAAAATTAATATTACTGACTTGGTTAATGCACCACCATCCCTCTGGATAATAATGTTATGGGACGTTGAAAACTTCTCCTTTTATGAAAGTTCGAAATCTATCACCGGAAATCTGATTGAATACGACAGCTTCATATCGTCGAGTAATAATTTTAAAAACATAATAAAGAGACGAAAAATATTTTTAGTTATCATCATTTGGTGTATATATATTGTACAGATATCCATCCAATATAAGATCTATCAATTTTATAATTATCAATCATAATTTATTAAAAATCAACTGTTACAACATTTGTCATATACTAGTGTTTTAAGAGTAAATTGTTGACATTGTGTTCATTCTATTTCGTTTTTTTTATTTCATTTATAATTAATCTGTAGTAATTCGATTAAACGTTTATATTGGAAACAATAAACATTTTCTGCAATCTCTCGTAAAAAAATCAAAGTTATAACTTAGAAGATTATATCTATACTGTCAATACAATTTTCTTATAATGAATTTCTAATTAAAACCGAATTCTATTATATAATTTATGGCAGACCCGTGGATGAGATCAAGATTGTGATCCATGATGTTTCTTATCTAAATTTGATTATTATAATCTTCAATTGGTTGAAATAATAATAATAATAATAATAATAATAATAATAATAATAATTGATAGCAGATTAAAAAAATGCAATTTATGGAGTAAAATGATATCAGTAATGTATACGTTGTTTTAGGAAAACAAGTATGATTCAAGGATTTTTCAGTGATTTTATTTGTGTGGTGCTTCCCTGGCGCTCTTCAAGTTAAGTATTTGTTGAAGTATGGATGATTGACGATTCGGCATTTAGTGATGTGTTGAGTGGTTCGTCAGATCTCCACTCTTTTGGTAATTGATAATATTTATTATGCAGCAATTGGATGTCTTATGTCATATCTTACTTCATCAAATTAAACAACCATCGTGTTTTATAATATATATATATATATATATATATATATATATATATATATATCATGACGATATGATAA